TATACTGTATATATATGTACATTAATTTGACAAAACATTCTAATAAAAAAACCTCCGTCTTCATTCATTTATTTTCAGAAACTCAGAAATGTAACTAACAAAAAAACTAAAATAAAACCACATTAATTTATTTCTTTGTTCTTTAGTCACCCAAAGTGCACGGCTATCCTGATATGGAGACTGTGCCGCTCCTGCTCAGCAAAGTGAAGGCGGAACCTCCAGAAGACCTGCTCTCATCCGAGCAGTTCCAAACCCAGACAGAGCCTGTAGACCTGTCCATCAACAAGACAAGAACGTCATCTCCTTCCTCCTACACCTCAGCCTTCTCTCCATCTTCATCATCGTCATCCTCACCTTCTGTCATCACCTCAGTCTCCTCTGGAATGCCCTCTATTTTGACACCCGGGCCCTTGGTGGGCTCTCCTCATGGAGTTAGAGGCCAGCAATTTTTGCACATCATCCACCCCGTCCCCCCTTCCAGCCCCAGTAAACTTCCCAGCCATGTGCACCGTATCCCTGTGGTGGTGCAGTCGCTGCCCCTCATGTACACCACAGCCGTTCGCTCCCCGTCAACCTTCAACTCCACCATCATGTTACCTTTCCTGGACGAGGTCAAGTGCCAGGGCAAAGGTGAGGACCACTTTCTGGATTGTTTAATAATTGTCACTGATTCATTTGACATTTTACTGTAGTTATAGTGGGTTGATTCCCTGATACACTGCATTTTTCTTACTCAGTGTTTTGTCTTGTTTTCCAGTACAAATGTCTAAAAATGTGTAACACAAGATACATTTACTTGAGAAGCAAAATGCATTAAGTCAAAGATCAACATTGACATTAAGTAAAAATAAATAAATAAATAATGCTTTAAACTAGAAAAAAATACTTAATTCAAAGGGAAAACAAGATTCTTTTTCTTACCTCATTGGCAGATTTTTTTTTACTGGTTTTATGCAAAAACTCATTAATTAATAAATTTTCAGAAAAGAAGACTTAATTACCTTAAGTCATTTTGCTTTTAAAGTAAATAAATCTTTATTTAAGAATGTTTAGATATTTGTACTGAAAAACAAGACAAAAAGTACTTATTATAAAAATTATATTTTTGCCGAAATAAAATGGTTGGAGGTTTGCAAGTGGGAATAACTTAACAGTTTGAGAATTACTTACTTGATCACCAGGGTGCCCCTAGGTGAAGCACTTAACATCAGCCTGGCCCAAGGGGAATGTTGAAATCTTATGAAATTGTGATCACTGGAGAAAATAAATCAACTGGAAAGGGGAAAAATGAAAGCTGATTAAAAGCATCTGTTTCCTTCACATTTGTTTTAGGAAAAGACTAGCTTCAGACAACTGCATCTCTCTGTCCTTTCTTCACAGAAAAGCACCATACTCATAATGATATGCAGATATGGGGTTGATTGTCCTCAGCTGCCTGTGTACTTCCTGCTGTTAGGGAGTATGTGCTGTACGACAGGCATACTGTCTGCTTTTGAAGTGGTGAACATTTATGATTTATGTACCAGCCAATGTGGCAGTCAACCTGTAAGACATGTCAGATTTTTTTAAACATGTATGATCGTTGAACATTTAATTTAGATTAAGTCATTTGAAAATCTGGCAAGGTGTATGCCCTTGCTATATTTATATATTCAGATATTTGTAGCACTTGACTGCTCTTTTCGAACACACCCAAGCATGTGAGGTATTGTCACACTTGTTTTGTTTCATCTCACATAGCAGTATATAGCGTAAATGGATACTAATAGTATTACACAAGTGGACCAAAATGAGATGAAAGGAACCATAAAAACAGCAAAAAAAGGGAAAAGTTATATTTCACTTTGTTCATTTATTGGACATGAAAGGTCTAAATTCCTTTCAAGAGCACTTAGATGTGAAAACATTATATAAAGTTAGTACATAAGAATGCAAAAGTGTCAGTGAACAGCTTAAGATTAAATAAAAAGCATGTGATTTGTGAAGAAAACAAAGGATTTTTTTTTAAATACCATAATTTCATACTGTAATTTCAATTCACTTGTGTGCATTAGGATACATAATGTGTTAGCTCTGAAAATAACAAGATTACATGTCTTTTTATTCCAAAAATTTTTTTTAAATGCCATTTCCACCACATAACTCTATTAAACACAATACATCATTGGCGGTGGGGTGGAAATATTCATGACTTTCAGAAAAAAAATTACCCTAACCCGTTCTTCTGGAATGCATGTACGTCTACTGTTGGACATTGTTAGTAGACAAATTAAATTAACTAGTGAGAGTGTGAAAAGTTTGTTATTTTCCAAAGGGCTAAAAGTGCCCATAGTTAAAGAGACACCCATACATTATGAGTGTTATATGTTTATACTGAAAAAAACTTAAACTTCCCACCCTAAAGCCCACAATTGTGGATTATCTTAAGACACTGTTGCTTTTCTAACAAACAGAATAGTGTTTACTGAGATGAAAGTGCTTTCTGCAAACATAGGATCTGCGTAGTTGTCTCGAGTCCAAGGTCATGCAGACAGGTCACGGCCCCTCGCCACATGCCCTAATCAGAAGCACACATCTTGCACGGTGCCTTCCCAAACTCTCGAGACCTCACCGATGGCACTCTGGGACTGCTGTTTAGGGTTGGTTTCCTGTAGGGCGAGTTTTAATACTCTGGCACTAAGCCACGATGCTCTGGGTGTTGCTGTCAAACAGTGTTAATTTCTGTTTGCGAAAATTATTTGTCAACGACATTTTTTTCACAGACAAAAACGAGACAATGATGAACTAAAACTCGTTTTGAATGACAGAAACTATAACGAAAATCCATTGACATTTTCGTCAACGAATAAAAACGAGACGAAAATGTTAGAGAGGGACGATTTGGGAAGAGATTCATTCAGAACGAATCTGCTGCATGGTTACGAGGTTAGATGCAAACATATGAACCAGCGGGACATAACAAGCTAACATACACTTGCTGCACGTCTCATAAAACGTACAAAAATGTCGATATCTGGGAGTTAGAGAAGAGCAGACATATGAATAAATCTGACGATGCAAAAGAGAACTCAATTCGGTATGGTTTTCTGAGCGCACACACGGAAGCAGCGCCTCTCACACAGCACACGAGTACCCTTTCGCATCTCATGAACGGAGAAATACACACAACATGATGTCGAATTGTCTGTTTTGACGAGTATTCGCGTAAACGCACTCCGTTATGTCTTATGTGAACATAAACAGTTGGGAGAATATTGGCAGTGTATCAGTCGTCAAAATACCGGAAGTGGCGCATTTCACGGACGAGAATCGATAAAACACATTATTAGACTGTTTTCCAAGGCCTCATGATATATTAAACCCGTTTAAAAATGTTGTTTTATATACATAATTAAGCATAACTGTGAATTCACAAATGCTACGATTTAATTAAATAATTATATGTGATGCAGTTATAGGCGTGTAGGTTACGTACGTGCCTCTCACAGCAGCTCCGTTCACAATAAATGCTGTTCCACAGGAACTGTTATCATTTACATGTGTGGAGCGTCTCAAACTCCATCTCTGCATGAAGGAACCATAAAAACAGCAAAAAAAGGGAAAAGTTATATTTCACTTTGTTCATTTATTGGACATGAAAGGTCTAAATTCCTTTCAAGAGCACTTAGATGTGAAAACATTATATAAAGTTAGTACATAAGAATGCAAAAGTGTCAGTGAACAGCTTAAGATTAAATAAAAAGCATGTGATTTGTGAAGAAAACAAAGGATTTTTTTTTAAATACCATCATTTCATACTGTAATTTCAATTCACTTGTGTGCATTAGGATACATAATGTGTTAGCTCTGAAAATAACAAGATTACATGTCTTTTTATTCCAAAAATTTTTTTAAAATGCCATTTCCACCACATAACTCTATTAAACACAATACATCATTGGCGGTGGGGTGGAAATATTCATGACTTTCAGAAAAAAAATTACCCTAACCCGTTCTTCTGGAATGCATGTACGTCTACTGTTGGACATTGTTAGTAGACAAATTAAATTAACTAGTGAGAGTGTGAAAAGTTTGTTATTTTCCAAAGGGCTAAAAGTGCCCATAGTTAAAGAGACACCCATACATTATGAGTGTTATATGTTTATACTGAAAAAAACTTAAACTTCCCACCCTAAAGCCCACAATTGTGGATTATCTTAAGACACTGTTGCTTTTCTAACAAACAGAATAGTGTTTACTGAGATGAAAGTGCTTTCTGCAAACATAGGATCTGCGTAGTTGTCTCGAGTCCAAGGTCATGCAGACAGGTCACGGCCCCTCGCCACATGCCCTAATCAGAAGCACACATCTTGCACGGTGCCTTCCCAAACTCTCGAGACCTCACCGATGGCACTCTGGGACTGCTGTTTAGGGTTGGTTTCCTGTAGGGCGAGTTTTAATACTCTGGCACTAAGCCACGATGCTCTGGGTGTTGCTGTCAAACAGTGTTAATTTCTGTTTGCGAAAATTATTTGTCAACGACATTTTTTTCACAGACAAAAACGAGACAATGATGAACTAAAACTCGTTTTGAATGACAGAAACTATAACGAAAATCCATTGACATTTTCGTCAACGAATAAAAACGAGACGAAAATGTTAGAGAGGGACGATTTGGGAAGAGATTCATTCAGAACGAATCTGCTGCATGGTTACGAGGTTAGATGCAAACATATGAACCAGCGGGACATAACAAGCTAACATACACTTGCTGCACGTCTCATAAAACGTACAAAAATGTCGATATCTGGGAGTTAGAGAAGAGCAGACATATGAATAAATCTGACGATGCAAAAGAGAACTCAATTCGGTATGGTTTTCTGAGCGCACACACGGAAGCAGCGCCTCTCACACAGCACACGAGTACCCTTTCGCATCTCATGAACGGAGAAATACACACAACATGATGTCGAATTGTCTGTTTTGACGAGTATTCGCGTAAACGCACTCCGTTATGTCTTATGTGAACATAAACAGTTGGGAGAATATTGGCAGTGTATCAGTCGTCAAAATACCGGAAGTGGCGCATTTCACGGACGAGAATCGATAAAACACATTATTAGACTGTTTTCCAAGGCCTCATGATATATTAAACCCGTTTAAAAATGTTGTTTTATATACATAATTAAGCATAACTGTGAATTCACAAATGCTACGATTTAATTAAATAATTATATGTGATGCAGTTATAGGCGTGTAGGTTACGTCCGTGCCTCTCACAGCAGCTCCGTTCACAATAAATGCTGTTCCACAGGAACTGTTATCATTTACATGTGTGGAGCGTCTCAAACTCCATCTCTGCATGTTGTTATGAGTTTGGGTTTATTATAACGCTAATCTGGGAACGCAACGTGCGCCATTTCATCAGATTTGTAAGGTAAATCATTTATAAATCCACGCAAACACAGGAGAATACATCATTATCTCGCGGTTTCAAAATAAAAGCTTAAGCCCTCACTCTGAGTTTACACGTTTTGATGTCCACATATTCATTAAATTACAGTGGCTATAGCATTTCTGTCGTAAATAAATGGCCAAATATTAAAGATTAAGTGGACATTTTAATTAAATGATGCTTGGTCAATATTAAACAAGTATTAGATCGCACAGTAATGTGTAAAAACAATCGTCAGGCCGTTGGCGCACCCTGCAGGCCTTTGTTGTAATGCGTACTGTACATTAGCTCTATTCACTGATCTATAATAGAGAATATATTATATTATTTTATAATTATATTGTCACGAATCCGGTCCTTGGCCTTCCGGCCAATTGCCACTAGAGGTCACTCTACCATTACATTGACTCTCACACTACACAGACCGTTACATGTCACTCCGGACTACAGTCCCATCATCCATTGCACTTACACAGCTGAATTCACTGATCACACAGCCGTCACTATCACACGCTCACCTGAGAGCCATTACACACTCTATTTAACACTCTCTCAGTTCCTGTTCAGATCGCCGTGTATTGCTCTGCATTTTCCACTCCCCAAGGGTTAGCTGCCTTACCGAGCCATTCCGTGTTTTCTGTTTTAGTCTCGTGTATTGCTCTACATTTTCCACTCCCCAAGTGTTAGCTGCCTTACTGAGCCATTCCATGTTTTCTGTTTTAGTCTCGTGTATTTTTCTGCGTTTATCACTCATCTAGCGACAGCTGCATTAACGAGCCTAGTGTCTTGTTTTCATCGTCTTGCCTTGTCTGTTTCCCCGTGTTCTGATCACTGCCTGTGTACCTGGATTATCCCTTGAGTCTCGCCCAATTGGATAATATTCGCCCCTGCCTGGACCTTTGCCTTGTACCTGGATTATCCCTCTTGCCTTGCCATCAATATACCTGTTTGCCATTGTCTGACCTATGCCTGTTTTTGACCACGTCTCTTGTGAATAAAGCCTTGCAGATGGATCCGCACGCTTCCTGTGTTCCCTTCGTTACATATATATAGATCAGTGGCTCTATTACATTATAATACAGTATTTTAACTGTAATACAGTTTTGTTCAATAAAACCATATGATTTCTTGCTTTTGATACTTTTTTTTAACTAATTATTATTGCCTCATTGCTATTATATATGTATTTTAAGTAAATTGAAAGGCTATTGTACACTTGGCCTACATCTATTCTTATTACCACAAAAATTAATTATTCATTATAATATTTTATTATTAGTAGACCAGAACACGTGGACATGTTGTCATTCTTACACTATAATACTAAACTTTGATTTCAGTGTTTTGGACTATGTGATGGACACTTGCTTCTTGCACTCCATGTTGCACTTTACTTTTGCTTTAAAAAAGGATTTCATAGAAATTTGGATTTCATTTGGAGTTTCACTACTGAAGTTCTCTGTTAATAATAATTAAAGCAATTATTAAATCTGTTAGTAATTAAATCAAAAG